CTATCTATCTATCTATCTATCTATCTATCTATCTATCTATCTATCTATCTATCTATCTATCTATCTATCTATCTATCTATCTATCTATCTATCCAGGCGTGCTGTTGGGATTGCTAGATTAAAGCAGGCTGAGAATCTAGGCCTAGGTAAAATGAATACTTTGCGTCTCAATATTTTTTCCAAAGTTTAAATTTTAAAGTTTTTCCTGTAACATAGAATTATCCTCTGGAAGGATTTTTCACTGACCAGTGAGAAAATATATTGATATATATCCTAATATTCCAAAGTAAGAATACAACTTTGAAAAAAAAAAATCAACGTTTGGGCAGAAAATGTCGTTTTTCTAAGTGCAACATATTGTAAATTCTTTATCAAAGAAAAAATGTTTTTATAGATTGAATAGTTCAAAAAGTTAAATGATTGTAAATGAACAATTTCGCATGCAGAAAAACAAGGTTGTTTCAGTATTTATTCATATTTTGGTGGGAAAGCTTAGAGATGACCCAGTCTGAGTTTTAACGTTTTGTATGTTGGGACCTATAAAACTGTGGAATTGGAAAACGACATTTAAACCATCAAATGTGTAATTTTTGTTGATATAAAATAAATAAATTAAAAAACAGATATAAAGCAATCTCAACCAAACTATGCAACAATACAGACTGTCAGTTAGTCCTGAAACAGATATAAAGCAATCTCAACCAAACTATGCAACAATACAGACTGTCAGTTAGTCCTGAAACAGATAAAAAGATGAAGAAAAACAAGAGAAGGAAAATTGAATTTAATAATCTTCAAAATGACAACTAAAAAATAAAAAGAAGAGGTATGTGTAGGATTGGAGTCATCTAGACTAGATCAATTTAAGAAGTGAAACGGGTCTGATGTTTAAAATTGTGCTATTTAGAATCATTACTTCTCAATGTCATCTTATTTAAGCGTTCCACTGAATTTTGCAAATTTTGAATTAAAAATTTAAAATGACTTTGTAAACACTCAGGTTGAATTCAGATAAAACTGGTTTTTACAAAATATGTGTCAACTAATATTGTGTTTACAGTTTCCTTTCAATTAAAGTTGTTTTGGTTTTGATCAGAAAGGAATTATTATTATTTTTTATTATTATGTTTTTACTATACATATGCAAGTAATCTAATAATTCATAGATATTAACAGAAAAACTATCATTCCACTATATGAAAACCACTCTATATGAACTATAGGCACATCAATACATGGATTTCACTAACTGCTAGATAATAAAGTTGATCTGAGGCCGAATTTAAAGAATTTGAGCCGCCGCTTAAATTTAAACCGCGGCTCAAATATGGTGGGTTCCACTTAAAATCGTATTCATTGCTTCAAGATTTAAGCCGGCGCTCAATTAAAACCGGTTTTGGGCGGATTTAAGACGCGGCTCAAATTCATTAAATTCGGACACTGATTAAACATTTAGGTCACGAGGAGGCTAGATATATAATAATGGTTCTCTGTCCAACTAAAGAAAAGGTTTGTACAATATATTCAATGTTTTTACATAAAAAAATGTTGTTAAAATGTTTTCTTTTAGAGTGTAACTGATTACTCGTCTCACACTCTAGTAGAATATCTTTAAAATCTAATGTTGTTGACCTTGATATTTCAAACTATTTGATCTTCTAGATCAACAAGTCAAAGTTTGAAATATCAATGTAAAAAAAAGTTTATTAATAGCAATAGGCCATAATTTTGAGAAGCCGGGTTTCCTGTAATTGTAAGATAAAAACAAAGACTCAAAGGGAGTGCTTGCGAAAAATAAAAGGGGGTATTGGCTTACGGCGAAAAATTATCGCTTTTGATCGCTACTAATCTCACTTCTATCTGTTGCGTCTATAAGGAGAAAATTGTTAAAAACGACTTGTACCACAGAATGTAGAGTTCATTGAGAAAGTTGCAACATACAACTCGGATCGTAAAAAATCTATTTAATATCAAACAAATCATTTAGATATTAAAATCTATAGTCATCGATTATTTTTCGACATAAACGTAAGTGTTTTATATCCAATGCACTTAAACGCCAATTAGTTTTTCCGCCAGGTGTCTCTGCTCTCGATGCTCTTAAAGATTCCACGTGGCAGAGACACCTAGGAGAAAAATATCGTTTTATTGCATTGTATATTAAACAAATAAAATAAATATGAAATATAAACTGAAAATAATCGATGACTATAGGTTTTAATATCTAAATGATTTGTTTGATATTAAATTGATTTTTTACGATCCCAGACGTATGTTGCAACTGTCTCAATTTGAATGGATTGTACGTTATTCGGTACAAGTCGTTTTTAACAATTTTCTCCTTATAGACACAACAGATAGAAGTAAGATTGGTAGCAATCAAAAGCAATTATTTTTCGCCGTAGTAATTTTTCGCGAACACTCCCTATAAAAACAAGAAAAATGAATAATTGATTATTGATTTGATAATTGATTGGTGATTTAATTATTGATTATTTGTGAATGAATAATTGAATGCTTGATTGATTGAATGATTGTAAGAATGAATGCAGAGAAAAGATTGTTGAATCAACTTGATTTGTTACTAATTTATTTTCGTTTCATTCAAACTTTATGCATTTTCTCTTCATTCTTACTCCATCCTTACTCCATCCTTATTCCATCCTTACTCCATCCTTACTCCATCCTTACTCCATCCTTACTCTATCCTTACTCCATCCTTACTCCATCCTTACTCCATCCTTACTCCATCCTTACCCATCCTGACTCCATCTTACTCTTTCCTGACTCCATCCTACCTGACATTGCATTTCTTCAATCATGTTGATATTTATCCCAATTGCGTATTTTATAAATTACTTAAAATCTCATTTTTTTTAATAAATCCTTTTTTACTAGGAAACCAAGTCAGCAACGGAGACAAGTAGAACTTTTGCAACTCTTTTTGCAGACATCAATTTCCGCACTAAACTCCAAAGTGTGCCTAGCGAGAACATGTTTAAGGTATGTCACTGTGTAGAAAATATTGCCTTTTAATTTTTTCCCTTAAACCTAAATGTGTTTACAATGTAAAAATTTTTTTGTTAATTAAAATTTTATTTATTATGTCCAAAAAAAGGTTCAAGTTTGAGAAAATAAAGAAAAATTTAAAAAAACACGAAAAACTGTTTGGAAAATAGCCTGGGCTAACATATAGTTTGGAAAATAGCCTATGCTAACATATAGTTTGGAAAATAGCCTGGGCTAACATATAGTTTGGAAAATAGCCTATGCTAACATATAGTTTGGAAAATAGCCTGGGCTAACATATAGTTTGGAAAATAGCNTTTTGTTCAGCTCACAACTGTGTAAATAATACACTATGTAAATAATATACTATGTAAATAAAATACTATGTAAATAATATACTATGTAAATAAAATACTGTGTAAATAATATACTATGTAAATAATATACTATGTAAATAATGTACTATGTAAATAATATACTGTGTAAATAATATACTATGTAAATAATATACTATGTAAATAAAATACTGTGTAAATAATATACTATGTAAATAATGTACTATGTAAATAATATACGATGTAAATAATATACTATGTGTACTTAAATGAAAAATACTGTTTCGGATTTAAGGTTTCCATCTTTAGCGGTTTAATTACAGGAACGTCTCCTGTAGCGCTAAGAATGAAAAACTATAAAAAAAGCATTTGAAAAACAATGAGGAAACCTTTTTCAATTAAACTATGAAAAATCTATCCCAAAGCTAAAACTGGAGAAGAAGTTAGGACATGTGAAGATGTGTAAAGACCAATTTTCAGGATCAATTAACTAGGACTAGTAGTGAATATAGTCTTGAAAGGTTCCGCCCTGAATATTTAAAAGTTTTTGATTGTTTGGAATTCTTAAAATCTGCTGAAAAATTTCGTGAAATATGGAATATAATTGATCTGGAAAGAAATATGAAACTTTAATACTAGGACATGATAGCTGGGCATGCCAGGGAGTTGGTGACAAGTCAAACATATTCTTTAGAGAACGGTGAGGGGGAGGAGGCAAGACAGGTATTTTATTAAAAAAGAACTCGCCTCAAACTCTAATTTTCTAATCCTTATATCGTTTGCGTCGTAACTCGTTATAGACCTTTGATATTTGAAATCCAAGAGGACAAAGAGGCAAAGTTTAAAATATTAAATGTGTGGACAACTGCAACATCCAATTTGTGTTTGGCACCAAAATGCTTCACTCTGGTGCTTAGTAATTAATAATTTTGAAAAAATGTGAAAAAATAAGAAAAATTATAAAAAAGGTTAGGACAAGATTTTTTTTTGTATTTTGTAAAGAGTGTGGCTGCTTACAAAGTTTTAATCGATTTGAGTTTGCGACAATCAATCATTTTCTTCAGTTTTCAGTTTTCTTTTATAATTTTTTTCTTATTTTTTTTTAATAAAAAGAACATTTTTTATTTTCATTGTAGTGGCTTCTTTCATTAGATTCCTCCATAATTATTAGAAATATCTTTCCAGAGGAATCCTTATAACATTGTTTCATTCAATAGAATATTTTGCTTTATTTCATTTATTAAAGAAAATATATTTGGAAGAATAAATATGCGCCAGCAAAGTAAAATGCAAATCAGAGGACGAATTTAAAGAATTTAAGCCAGGGCTCAAATATACTTGGTTCCACTTAAAATTGTAATCAATGTTTCAAGATTTGAGCCGGCGCTCAATTGAAACCGGTTTTTGGTGTATTTGAGACGCGGCTCAAATTCATTAAATTCGGACTCTGAATATTTTTATTATAACTTAAATCTCATCTTATTGACGCTAAAAACCGAAGAAAAAACTAAAAAAATTAAAACATAAAACTGGAATTATACAAATTTTGTTTTAGTTTTCAGTTGTCTCAATTCTTAAAAGTTGGAAGCAAAAATTAATTCGTAACATGCTTATTGCTTTATAACGCGGAATACAAGATGCAGCCACCAGAAATTCAGAAATAAAGAACAAAACTGTAAACAGTGCAATACTATCACCATTTGTAGAAACCTGAATTAGGTTTAACTAGAAATGAATTGAGATTTTCCCAGAAACCCAAATTTTCTAATCCCCATTTCTTTGCAAGCTGATGATGGTGTAAACTATTGATATTTCAAACTTAGATAATTTGATCTAAGTCAAAGTATGAAATTTCTAAGGTCTTCGACATAGTGTTGCCAAGATATAGGGATAAAAAATCAGAGTTTGTGGCAAAGACTAAATTTCTTTATCTTCATTGAAGTGATTGTACGTGTAATGTTATTTATCCTTCCATACAAAGATGGTTATATCCTATTCACAACGATACCCTTAAAACCTTTATATGATCAATATTGTGTGGGAGATATTGTCGTTTTTAGGGTTTAATTGAAAATAATCCGTTTTTCTAAATTATCTTTGTCGGATATGAGACGCGGCTCAAATTCATTAAATTTGGACTCTGTTTATAGAAATGTGCTGGGAAGCATTGGTATCATCTTGGTTCAGGGATGTATGAGGATTTAAGGTATGTTAAATATATGTTACAGGCTTAAATACAAGTTCAGCCTAGTGTGCATAACATTAATAATTGGTGATAGTTCTCGTCACGTGTTTAAGTTTCAGATTTTCAAAATTTTACATATATGAATTTTCGTATAATTTTAACACAGTTTTATATCAATTTCTCGAGACAGGAACATCAGATATAACTTTCATGGGTCGCGATCAAGAGCTAAAGTGATTAGCTTTCAGCCTATACCCCCTTTCATTTTCCCTTTACTGTCCCTTAAATAGGTTTCAAGCTGTATGTGTCCTTCTGTCAGTCTAATCTAGAATAAATCTAGATTTTTATTCAACACTCTATAATTAAATAGAGAATTAGATTCCTTGTGCTTCAACCTGATTTTACAATATTTTAAATATGCATGTGTCGCGTATATAGGTTCTTGGCACATGAAATCTTCCCAGAGGGGAAAGTTGTATTATTAAATTGTCTTCTCCCAAAATTTTTAATGACTTTTTTCAATTTTAAGAGATATAAAAACTCGCAATCATTTCACTGTATTTGGGTTCCAATTGTGTAATATGTAATATGTATTGATAATTTCTATGTTTTAGGCAGAGGCTACCATTCTACCTTTCCGACTTTATCGATGGATTTATCGGCGATAAAACAATTCAAAAAACTATTTCTGCGACAATATTTCTTTACTTTGCCTGTATACTTCCTGCCATTGCCTTCGGGGTTCTTAATGCTCAAAATACAGGTCAAATTTTTACAATTTTTTTTTCCAGTCATACACTCATTACCAGCAATTTAACCGTTTTCAGTCATACACTCATTACCAGCAATTTAACCGTTTTCAGTCATACACTCATTACCAGCAATTTAACCGTTTTCAGTCATACACTCATTACCAGCAATTTAACCGTTTTCAGTCATACACTCATTACCAGCAATTTAACCGTTTTCAGTCATACACTCATTACCAGCAATTTAACCGTTTTCAGTCATACACTCATTACCAGCAATTTAACCGTTTTCAGTCATACACTCATTACCAGCAATTTAACCGTTTTCAGTCATACACTCATTACCAGCAATTTAACCGTTTTCAGTCATACACTCATTACCAGCAATTTAACCGTTTTCAGTCATACACTCATTACCAGCAATTTAACCGTTTTCAGTCATACACTCATTACCAGCAATTTAACCGTTTTCAGTCATACACTCATTACCAGCAATTTAACCGTTTTCAGTCATACACTCATTACCAGCAATTTAACCGTTTTCAGTCATAC